AATAATCATTTAACTTCTTTGATCCTTAAGTTTAATGCTATAAAATGGCTACACTAACCCTTGCCCTAAGGACTTCACAATGTTATTAAGGAATTCTAAAAATATGATGCATATGAAGGCATTTTATATAGTATTTACTATGTGCCAGGCACTGTGCTAAGCACTTTACAATTATTATCTCTTTTGATCTTCACAACAACCCTGGGAGATAGGTGCTATTATTATCCCCATTTTAAAATTGAAGAAACTGAGGCAAACAAGAATTAAGTGACTTGCCCAGAGCCACACAGCTAGTGGGTATCTGTGGCTGGATTGGAACTCTGGTCTTCTTGACTGCAAGCCTGTCACTCTGTCCACTGTGCCACCTAGCTGCCCATGATTAAGAGGATAAAGCACTACTGAAATGAAAAGTGGCATTATTATTACCATCAGTATCACTGAGAATGATGTGGTGAGTAGTGGTAATAAATAGCTGAGACCCAGAGATAAGAAAGAGAAAGGATTTTTTAAGGGGGAGGGAGAAGGTAAGTGATGTCTGAATCTAGACTGATGACAGAAATGTATTGGAGGAGGGAGAGGAGTATAGAAGGAAGGTCCTGAAATTGGCTGGATAAAGTAGAAGAGGCAGTAGGATTGATACATAATATAGATTATTTATGTAGAGATAACAGGGTTGACTATATTAGTATTTTTCTAGCTAAAAAGTCACACTTTCTGCTAGTGATACAGACTCCATATTATTGAATATCTCCCAAAAGTTGCTGATGGCCCAATTTTGTCATTCCAGAACTGCCACCTGGGGAAAAGGGCTAAGAAAACTTGAGGCTAACCTCATTTCAACTGCGTAAAGCTACTAGAAAATCTCAAGACGTGTGGCATGGTTGGGAATTTTCTATCCATTCGGGTAGACTTTGAGAAGCCCTAGAGCTCAGCTAAAGTCAGAGAGCTGTTGCTTCCTTGGTGGGCTGAGTCCCAAGGCTCCTGAGCTCAGGGCAGCTGGCAGTGCTGATGTTATGTCAGGGAGGTCTGGTACTGGGCAGGCTCTAGGGACCTCCACTTACTTGGATGGTGGTTTAAGCAATGAGACCACAGGGACTCTATTACCAAGTTATGTAAGTGCCATTTTAACTGAAAGTTGTACTTTCTTTTCTAAGCTGACATTGAATGCACAAGAAATTGTAGAGTAGTCTACAAAAGGGTGTGTCTCCACTAGCCACAGGGCGTGCAACATGAAATCAGCCAGCCCTTTACAATAAATTTAGTAGCACAAAGACCCTCCAAAGCTAGTTAGACCACTTCCCTCTAACCGGTTAATCAGGCATATTAGTTGGTACCCCAGCCAAAGCGTATTTTAGATACAGGATGAACCAGTATTGAATGTCATTCTTGCACAATTCAGATGATCTGTTTTTCAGTTCAGACTTCACCTAAAAATACCTATAGTTCTCTTGCCTCTGTTGATGAGGAAAGGTAAATTAGTCTAATAGCATTTACAGGTTTAGCATATCTTATTTTAGCTTTAATGGTTTAACCTATCAGATCCTTACTGAAACTGGTGACAATTAATCAGCTTTTGAAGATTTGAGCTTCCTATCTTCCTCACTCTCTCAACTGCCTTTTACTGGAGGGACAGAATACCCAAGAGATTGTGTGGAAAGAAAGGGAGAGGAAGAGAAAAGTAAAAAACTTGATTACTCAATAGTGCTGATAATGTTCCATACCTGAGACTTATAAAGACTTAAAAAGCAGCCTTGATTTATATTTTCTCTATCTCATAGTTCCTTTCTGAAAATTAAGAAACAGACCATGATGTAACTACTTAGAGGCTTCCTTGTGGTCTAGGGTATACCAGCTGGCCAACCTGCCACTACTTCATACTTACTCTTCCACGTGTGAGATTCACATCAATTAGAATGTAAGGAAGTTTTTAGGTTTCTATTGAGAGCAGATAAGCACACATTTCTCTAGAAACCTAATATCCTTAAAGGAAACAAATAAAAATCCAGGGTAGATATGTCACACAAAATCATGATACTTAGATCCAGAAATCCAGGGGCTAAGTCTGGTCCATTCTATGTTTAGGAAACACACCCTCAGCATTATCCTTGTTTTAATCAACAGTACCCATGACATCACTATTCAAGCCATTTATTTAGTCTATTTCCAAGCTTACCACATGGTAAATGACTGTCTGCATAAATAAAACAATTCAGCTCTATAAGACTCATTTGCAATTCAGAACAGCGGAGAGAAAAAAACTTCAAGTGACTATCATCAGAAACATACTAAAATATCTACAAGTTGTTCTAAACATGAACCTTTTACTAAAGATATGAAAAGAAAAAATAGCTGTAACACGAGGTTTTCACTGCCTGTCAAAGAAAAGTACACTGGAAAGCCAAGTTGGGGCAGAACAAACACTTCAATTGTAAGCTGCTGGAAATTATTGCACTGGTTTGCATAGAACATCCACAGAGAGGTGGACATTTAAGAATTTAGACTGAAAGTTCCATGAGGACAAAGACCAAGTCTAATTAAAACTATATTAACTCAACTGTCCAGTGCCTAGTACACTGCTTAGTACATAGTGGGAGCGAAATAAACCAACACTTTGATGACGATACTTTTTTGTTTCGTATCACCCACTTAAATAACGAACGGATTAGTTGTGCAACAGAACCTGATTGCTACTTAAGAATACCATTTTACCATCTGAAGCTGAAATATATGATGTGCTGTAATTTAATTTACCCTATCTTTGGTTTTATTTATCTTGGATTCCTCATTTCCCCTGACTTCTCACATCTAAATGTCAGTAACTAAGTCGTGTCCATTCTACAAATACATCTGATGTCACATTTGTCCCTTTCTCTCTAGTGCCATAGTTACAGCCCTCTACAGACTATTATCACCACCTGTCTGAAATACTACAATAGCCCCCTAAAACAACAATGTGAAATTTAGGTGTTTGTGAGCAATAATTTCGTCTGTGGCAATGGTATGAATACTAGTATGGTATCAGCTAAGTTCTACCGGGCATTTTGAGGTCTATATTTGTAGTATGTTCAGTCGTTCAGTTGTGTCTGACTCTTTGTGATGCCAATTGGAGTTTTTTGGGCAAAGTTACTGGAGTGGTTTGCCATTTCCTTCTGCAGTGGATTAAGGAAAACAGAGGTTAAGGGACCTGTCCAGCATCACACAGCTAGTAGGTGTCCGAGGCTAGATCTGAACTCAGATTTTCCTAATTCCAGGCCCAGTGCTCTATACACTGAGTCACTTATATGCCTATATCTATAGTATAGTGATTTGTTTTCTGTCAGTAATGTAAGTCAGTCATGAAAGACAATGGATTTCTGTGATCTATAATGCTACCTCTCAGGTCATGTCTTGCTAGGTATCTGATTGGTGATACATTTTACAGCCTATAGTGAAAGGTTGCAAAGTCGCCACTGTTTCCTTGTACAATCTACTTAGATCACTAAATCTGGCTCCTTAACAATAACTCTTCTGTAGTTTCTGGTCACAATGACCTTCACTAGAATCACCAATGTAAACTCCATCCATTTCTCTAAATAAATCTTTATACTCAGTCATCTGTCTGAAACTTGCTGGTTGACATATTTTGGCGAATTTCATGCAAATGGTGCCCATGGAAGGCCTTCTGATTTGCACTCTTGGATCTTAGTAATTTCATAGGCTCCATCTAGTGGTCAAAAGATCATTGGATAATAATATTGAGAGCTGGAAGGGGCTCTCAGAGGCCATTTAGTATAATCTGCTCATTTTACAGAAAAAGAAACCGAGGTCTAAAGAAGTTAAGAGACTTGTCTCCAGTCATACGTGTAGTGTCAGAGGCAGGATTTGAATCTAGGTCCTAAGATGCCAGCACAAGTACTCTTTCCATTGTACTATGATGCCTCAGTTAAATTGGAGAAATCCAATGGTAAGTACCTGTTATCAACCCTTCCTGTTATTCCGTGGGGTCTTTCTGTCCAAAAGCATTTCTGTTGGCTTTTGATATGTGTATCATATATTCTAAGAATGTACATCAATCTTTCTCCTCTTTTTAGGTTTGGAAGTGTTAATCTTTCTTTGGCTGCTCTAAAGTGATGGACCTATGTTTTGCTAATATTGTATTGGTTTTTGTTACTTTCCAAATACTATCATTAACATGGAAAAAAAAACATGCAGGGAAATGGCAGGATTAATTTGGTTAGTAAATCCAGGTTGGAAGTATTGTATAATAAATGGAGGGATATGGTGGGGATAAGGTATAAGGAAAAGTAGCTTACAGCACAATTAGAGCAAGATTTGAGTGGCATATTCATTAATCCATGGAGTGATCTTTGCTGCAGGAAAGCAAATCAAAATGATCACCTACTGCTCCTCTTCTCTGTCAATGACAAGAGCAGTGGGATTCTAGAATGGTTAAAAATTATTAATATAAACCCACACGATGTCTATGAAAGCATAGAGCAAACAGGAAAAGAGGAGGTAGGAAGAGAAATTTCAAGAAATGACATTTAAGGTTAATGATTGAGAGGGATGGTATCTTAGGTAAGTAACTTCTAAGAAATCACAAGGATTATATTCAAGTATATGAAACCAGGGTGGGTCACACTGGTATTGGCATAGGATTTATGTGTCATTTGTACATAGTCTGAATATAATGAGTTTATATCATTTATTTACAGGAAACAAACAATAATTGGATTGTTTTTATATCAGAAATCATGTTTCTCTTTTCTCTGTCTTGCCTTTTGGTAATCATTGACTCAGACATATATCCTCTAAAATGTTGAGTAGGACAAGTAGTGATGGTTGGGGGGTGGGGAGGGGAGGAAAGGTTTTATGTAGGGAACTAACAAAAAACACCAAAATCAATCATTCACTTGAAACATGCAGAAGTAACAGTGTGCAGAACATTAGTTTAGAGTTTTCTTTTGTCAGCTCACTACTATGCCACACTTGAGTGAACAATCAGGTTTTGTCACACATACCTCTATTTCCCAGACAAATTTCAAAGCTCCTTGAAAGTAGGGACTGCCTTCCTTTTCTGTTTGTATCTCCAGTTCTCAGCATATTATGTTGCACATAGTAAGTGCTTAGTTAAATTCATTCATGCTGGAAGAACGCTCCAGATGTTATTCACTTAATCACAGGGAATCCTCCCTCTAGTTCAGAGATATCTGAATTTTGCTGAGAGGGCAAGTAAGATGATGTTGTGGAGAAAAGGTCTGGTAAGACAAGGAAAAAGGAAAAAAAATACAAATCATCTCTACTTGACTTCATTCACTCTATCCACCAAACTTCCTACCCTGTCTGGCTCACAAAGTGGAAAGTGATATATATTTAAATTTATTTTTTGTTTTCAACATTTACTTATATAAGATTTTGAGTTCTAAATTTTCTCCCCCTCCCTTCCCTCCCCTCTCTCCAAGACAGCATTCAATCTGACATAGGCTATACATGTACAGTCATATTAAATATATGTCCACAACAGGCTCTAAGTCTTATCCCCACCTGCCAACTAGAGGGAAGGAATCACTAAGACTTCACAGAATGTCAGATCTGGAAGAGCTCTCAGAGGCTCCAAACCTGCAAAAATCTGTCTTCAACACACTGAACAAGTGACCTCCAGATTTTGTTTCAAGACCTCCAAGGCTGGGGAACTCATGACTTCCTAAGCCAGCTTTCTGTACCTTTGGAAAACTGAGATGAAATGCTTCCCTGAGGCAGTATGCCAGACAGAGGAACCTTGAATATAATAGGTTCTTAATAAATATTGGTTGATTATATTTTTTAAATTTTACCTTAATTCAAATCATCATTAACACTGTCTATCTATTCTCCCTGAAATCCAAACTGTTGAATTCCTTCAATAATTATCCGTTTGGCAAAAACAGTCCTGTGCGGTGGATGGCAACATAGAACTTACTAAAAGCAGCTCTGTGTGTGAGTAGGGCTTGCCAGCATGCCCCCAGCGACTCTGAGGCTACATAAAATGAAGAGTGTGGAAATCACAAGTTCCATTAAAACCGTAAGCATTTTCCAAGCCCCCTGCCAGAAGTAAGGTGTGGGGGGGGGTTCTATAGAACTTTCCTCCCCCAGATCTGGGCCTCCCATCCTCTTTGATGGACAAAAGGTCTTTTAAGTAAACGCTCTGCTTTAGCATAAAGATGAACTTGTCACAAGGTGAAATAGGCTCCACACCAAGTTAACCCAGTAAATTAAAGCACGCACTTATCATATACCACAAAGGCTATCATCAATCCATTTGTTCCCCTCCACTCTTAAATAAACACCCCCCCCACACTCTCTCTCTGTCTCTGTCTCAGAGACATACAAACACAGGATTGACTTAAGAACAGAAAAGACTGTTTTACTAAAATAGACCAAAAACAAAATAAAGGTGCTGGTGGCAAAATGTCCCTTTAAATAATAATACAGGAGAAAGGACCACTACCCAGCTATTTGATTTTGGCTCTTACAGTCTTATTAACAAGTTAAACTGAGAAGCCAAAGTTAAAGAAACTTTCGTAATCTGCACCCCAAACCACTTCAGCTCAAATGAATTTATTTGACTTTAGGCCGACAAGCTAGGATTACGAAGAGAAAGACAGCTATTGTTCCCTTTTAACTGTCAGTATTGTGTTCCCTCATTCTAGCCCTCCAGGTACTTTAAAATCTGCAACAATGAGGCAAGTACTAAAAACTACCTTCCTATACAGCAGGCCGATTATGGTTTTGGAAAGAGACCAGACAGAAAAACAGATTTGCAGTTTGTAAAATTGTTTTGCAATCTATGAAAGCTTTCTCACTACATTTCAGCCACCTTGAAAATTAAGGAGCAGAAGTATTATTTTCCTCATTTTATAAGTAAGGAAACTGAGGCTAGGGAGATCAAATGACTTCTTCAACTCACTGAAATTTATGGAGTCAGAAATCTGGCTCTCTGATTCCAAACCCAGAGGTCAATCTGTGGCACCATGGGGCCTCACTGAGGAGATCCGGAAGAGCATTAGTTCTGCAGTCGATGCTTTAAGATGTATTAACTCATAATATGTTAAAATGATAGGCTTTAGGAGCAATATGGAGCAAGATTCCATATTCAACTAGACTCATCTTTCCACCTGTTGCTGGATACAGCATCAGTTCCTGTTCCCTTAGAATACAGAAAGAGTAATCTGCTTTTTAAAGAGCTAGAACAGTAGAAATGGCATGGGACGTAGGTAAATAAGATCTGAGTTTGTATTTTACCTCTGCTACTTTCTACCTGGGTGATCTTGAATAAGTCACTTAACCTCCTCAGACCTTAGTTTCCTCATCTGTTTTAAAAAAAAAAAAAGATCCAGCTCCATGATCCTATAACTAGGTCCCTTCTAGCTCAAAATCCTAGGAAGCCAAGTTTCCTTTGGTGCCAGGGATCCTAACTTTTGATGTAGTTAGTATAAAAAATTAAAATCAGCCTTAAAATGATACTTTCCAAAGGTTGCCAATTCTTGGTCCAGACTAGGTTCACATCTGCACATTAATAGTTAATTGTGAATAAGATGGAGGACCAGATATATTTTCCAGTTTCCATTAACTCTCAAAACCCCCCAAAAGAGGAATTATGAGCCAGATGTGGAGAAATTATAGCTGAATTCACAGGACAAGAAAGAAAAAACACTGACAAGCTAAAATATTTATGAATTAACACCAGAGAATACTAATCCTTAAGGTGTCCACTCAAGACTCCTCTTTCATCAGACTCCATGCTCCAGGCAGGGATACACACACAATCTGACCCTCAGTCTTGGGCCTGGGGTCTTGGGGTCTCCTGCTTCAAAGAGTTTGTACAAACACCTCAGCCCCGGCCTGCCACCCAAACAAGCAGCAGGTACTGATTCTGCCAAGATATAATAGAAGGCAGAGAAGGCCTAAGTCAGGGGTGGGGAATCTGTGGCCCTAAAGGTCCTCAAGTGTGGCCCTTCTACGGAATCCAAACTTCACATAACAAATTCTGTGGTCCAAACTTGAGGACCTAGAAGACTACACATGGCCTTGAGGCCACAAGTACCCACCCCCCTTGGGCCCTAAGTGTTCTTCTGTGTACTACCTGAGGCCATAGAGGCTGCAGCCTGACCTCTCCCCCTACCCTGTAAAAAGTGGTAGATGCTAATTTAGCTCAAATTTAGAAAAGGCGAAGAGGAGAACAAAAGGACATGGGGTAAGGGATCAGCATATGTGGCTGTGACAGATCTGAAAGAAAGTGGGCTAAAACTCAGGGCCAGCCCCCTCTTATCCAGGACAGGAGACCCAGACTGGTGAATCCTATGTCTCCAACAAAGAAAGAAGTAGTGGCAGCTTTGTAGCCCTGACTCAGAGAATTTTTTTTTCAATCATTTTTCATTTGTGTCTGACTCTTCATGACCCCATGTGGGGTTTTCTTCACAGAGATACTGGAATGGTTTGCCATTTCCCTCCAGCTCATTTTACAGATAAGGAAACTGAGGCAAATATGGTTAAGTGACTTGCCCAGAGTCACACAGCTAGTAAGTGTCTGAGGCCAGATTTGAACTCAAGAAGATGAGTCTTCCAGACTCCAGGCCCAGCATTTTATCCACTGTGCTACCTAGCTAACTGCCCACCAGCAAAGAAAGGGGTGGAGGAATTAAAAAATAAATTTTATATATATATATATGTGTGTGTGTGTGTGTGTGTGTGTATATGTATATACACACATATGAAGAAAAAAAAATACCCAAGATTGCAAAAGGAAGACAACTCAAAATCCAGAGCACCACCAGATAAATCAACAGAAACTATCCTAAAACTAGAAGGAAGGACGAGTGTAAAATTCTCAAAGAGATTGCAAAGCCTGTAACGAATACTACAAGATAAAGGAAAGCGACCCAATGCTTAATGAAATACAGACTCTGAACACTTGCAGGAAAGTCTGGAATATCAATAAAATTTTTCAGAACAGTTCAAAAGAAAAAAAAAAAGAAATCCAATGGAGAAAAATTCAGGAATACAGGTCACAATGTAGTTCTCAATGAAGAAATAAAAAACACAATTTGAACAAAATGAATCCATGGTGGAGTTTCTCCAAAGAAGAAATGAATTAAAGATTGTCCATCTCTGAGCTTAGCACAAACGCGTGCACATAATTGATGCTGACAACAGCAGATGACTTCAGAGCTGAACATCAGCACTGAGAAGGGGCATCTCAGACTCCAGCTAAAACAAGAAGTGCTTTGGCTTCAGCAAGAGAGAAGTCTTGGGGGGAAACGACAGCTGTGAAATATGGGAAGAATTATCATATGGAAGAGGAACGAGACTCCCTCAGTTTGGCTCCAAAAGACAGAATTGAGAACAGTGGGCAGAGGCTGCACAGAAGCAAACTTAGTATGATATTGGGGAAAAAACTTCCTCTTAACGAGAGCTGTCTAAAAGTGGAGCTGCCTTCAATGGCAAAGGGTCCTGTTTTAGTGGAGGCCTTTAAACCTGGCTGGATGACCACCTGTTAGGTTTATTGTGGAAGGGACTCCTTTTGTGTAAGAGTTAGATTAGAATGGCTACTGAAATCCTTTCCAATTGTCAAACTGTGTGATTCTTATAAAAGTTGATCCTTTTGTAACATGTGACACAATATCACACATGAAGACATCACTAGCTATGTGAGATTCACACTCAAGGTTCTTTAATAAGTCATTTTTTCCCTTAAAAAAAAAAAGAAAAAAGTCTGTTTTGTTTTTGTATCCCCAGTGCCTAGCACATATCTGAGAAATGTGATACAAAGATTTTTCCCTCTATTTGACTGCTTCCCTTTTTATCCTAAGTGCATTAATTTTGTTGGTGCAGAGGCTTTAGTTGAATGTAATCTTCCCTATTTTATCTTTTGTAATTGCCTCTGTCCGTTGAATTGGTAAAAATACATCTCCTACCCATAGCTCTAAAAGGTCTATGATCTGCTTCTCTTTAATTATTTAATAATATAATCCTTCACATTAAGGTCTTATATCTATTTAGAATGTATTGAGGAATACAGTGTAAAGTGTTGGTCTAGACCTATCAGTCTGCTTTACTGTTTCCCTATCAGTTTTTATCAA